AATTATTATTATTATTTAAACAAACAAGCAAAAGCTGGAAATGTTGAAAGTGCCTTGCCTGCCTTATTGAGCCAGAACAACACTTTTCAGATAACGCTGCCATCTCATCAGAACTACATGTAAAAAGGTATATCCCCCCCTTCAACTTGTTGTATTTCCTGAACTCATTATTATGAAGTAAGAATGATTTGGAACCTGCTTGGAATCCTACACCCATTAACACTATGATTCTGACTTTAGGGAGGCTTATTGATGGTCCCTTTCCAGATCTGTGGAACCCATTGATTTAGCTTATTTGCATAGTCCTGCTAACCATGCAGAGTGACTAAGACCTATTGGCTTTGTTCCTGCCAGCCCTGACTGTCATGAAGCAGTTTATTGTATTCTATACTTCCTGAATAGGGACGCGGGTGGTGCTGTGGGTTAAACCACAGTGCCTAGGACTTGCCGATCAGAAGGTTGGCAGTTTGAATCCCCACGACGGGTTGAGCTCTCGTTCGGTCCCTGCTCCTGCCAACCTACAGTTTGAAAGCATGTCAAGTGCAAGTAGATAAATAGCTACCGCTCCGGCGGGAAGGTAAGCGGCGTTTCCGTGTGCTGCTCTGGTTCGCCAGAAGCGGCTTAGTCATGCTGGCCACATGACCCGGAAGCTGTCTGCGGACAAACGCTGGCTCCCTAGGCCTATAGAGCGAGATGAGCGCACAACCCCAGAGTCGGTCACGACTGGACCTGATGGTCAGCGGTCCCTTTACCTTTACATTTTTATACTTTCTGAATGCTGTTCAAAGTTGTGTCTGCCATCCTTAACCTGCCCACACTGGCTTTCTCTGATTAAGTGGCTTATTTTTTTAAAAAAAATTACAAGTTCTCTTAAACTGTCAAATGGGAACTTGTGTTATTTCGATGTGGGAAAATCATATTTATGTGACGTCATTATGCCAGTTTAGTGATGCTTATACTTATTTTGAACATGATGTTGTATAGCAGAAGCTGATACTTGTGTCAGCGCAGACTATTTCAAGCTAAAGTTCATTCTGAAATGATAACTGTAGGGCCCATAAAGCAAAATATCATGTTAAAGAATGTCATGTCAGAATACCTCTTGGGCACTTAATCAGGTCAAAAAGTAATATAATAATCTTTTTGGCTCATTTGTCTTTCCCCCCGAAAGCAAGGACTAGTTGGAGTCTGATCAGAATTCTGAGTCCATTAACATCTTGACAATGACTTTGGCTGATTTTTCCATTAATGCCTTACATACATTTATTACTACTTACTGGTGTACATTTAAATTCCTACTATAATTTGAATTAGGGCTCAGTAAAAATCTAATGTCAATTTTCACAATAAAAAGGGAATGTACCCCTGTTGTCAAGGCAACTAGTCTAATACTCCCCAGTCTTGGCACACAACAAAGTGTAGAGCATACTCCAAAAGAATGACTTGGTTTGCCACATAATCACAACTGATGGACTAAGTAGCATTGTACTTAGTAGTACAATAAGGAGGAATAAATAAACTGGGTGCTTGAGGAACTGAATTTGTGATCCTTACCACCTCCTCCTGGATCTCCCAGATAATGTCCACCTGGAACAACATGGGGACTGGAATGTAGTTATTCTTCAGATTTCACAGATCTCCAAATTCTGTGAATTCTTGGCTCAAAAAAATGCCAAGTTGCATTAAAAATATTTTAGGAGAAAATATGTTTTGTATTGTGTAAAGTCAAAACAATATGTGTTTCAATATGTATTTTTAATAAAAGAAAAATATATGTGTATTTACATACTAATTTCATGCAGAAAACATCAGTACAGAAATGGGATGGAAAACTTAATGAATGAACATATGTGAAAATGATACAGGCAAAAAATAGACTGACAGGGCCATTTCTAATTATCATCATGTAATCATTGTTTCAATCAATTGTATGTAAATTTGCTCGAGATTCTTCTAGTTTGATCCACCCCCACATTTTTCAGTAGATATTAATTTTATATTTTTGTTATTAATCTTGACCATTGATTTTCTGTATTGTCTATGAGCTTTAATCATTAGTTTTCATTGCATCATATTAATTCCTTGGCCCATTGTTCTCTGAGCCCCCCAAGTGGAACAGATAGTGGCTGAGAAAGTTCAAGAGCAAGAGGCTGCATTCCTACACTCGCTTGCTTCAGAGTCCCACTGAACTCAATTGGGCTTCCTCCTAAGAAGGCACACAGAGGATTACATTTTGACTCTTGAAAATAGGAGAAAAGAAAATGGAGGAAGCCTAGGAAAAAATATGCATAGCGAGAAAAATAATGACAGGAGGAGGATTTTGTTTGAAGATTCAAGAATATTTTTTATAACTACAAGTCTGACAATTAGCTGTTGAAATCAAATGTTGAAAATCAAATATGTATAATCTACCCCTTCCTCCAGTCTTAGTTTTTGTTTCCCTCTTAGGGTTGTCAGAACACAGGGTTGCAGAGGCAACAGAAGTTTCTCAATTGGCTGGATTCCCCTTTTATACAGCAACCATGTCTCTTTCTAGATCTACTAATCCTAGGCTCCTTTGCCTTCTGTCCCTAAGTCCTTCAAACCTCCCTTAGGGTGCAATCCTATCTCCACTTACCTAGGAGGAAGCCTCATTACTCGATGGAATTTACTTGTGAGTCAACATACATAAGAGTACACTATTCATTTATCTTTCCTCTTCCTTCATGTCCATACCAACAATCTGAGGTTTTAGCCCAGACCTACTTTTTCACCAGCTGCCTTATTTCTTTGTCCCTACCACATTTGTCCCTTCCTCAAGTCTTTACCTTTCCACATTTTGTTTAGTCAGCCTCTCAGCTAGCCACCTGATCACTGTTTTAGCTGTCCTCATACCACCTCTCTGACCTTAAGTGCTACAAGGCTTCTACAGATCTCATTTTTATCCATTTTGTGTCTCCCTTCTCTTTCGGTTATTCTCTCTTCAGGTTCTTGTTTCTCAGCCCATGTCTCACTTGCTCCCATGCTCCATCTTCCTTAGAATTCACACATCCTGGGCTTTCTTTCTAAAGTACAGCCCACTCCTGTCATTTCTTTAGGGCAAGGTTAAATCCTATAATGCCTGACCTTGGTCATACTTGCTGGAACAAGTATAAGCCCAATAACCACTGGAAGGTCACTGCCCCCCCATCCCTGTAGTAGCAAAACTGACGACTTTATTTTCCTTCACTGAAGCTGAGCTGGGTGGAAACTACACACATATAAAAACCGTTCTGAAAATGTTTTTTTTTTTAAAGCGTTTTTAAAAATACATTGAATTTTCCATAAGGCTCACCATTTCCATCTAGTGTCACATTGTATATTGCACTTAAAACATTTTATTTGTGGCTGAATAGCTGAGTCCCTGAATTACAACATTGTAATAACTTTGGGTCAAACTACGCACTACATCCAGTGCTTTTCTTTTTTGCATTTAACATGATTGTTCGATAGAAAACAAACAAAATAGGTGTAGGGACTTTGGAAGACGGCAAGTGGTTTAACCCTTTCCTTCCTCACCGTCACCCCACTGAAAATGGCAGGAGAGGGGATTTTTGTTGAGACTGTGGCAAGCAGGGAAGCCAACCTTTCCTGCAATAGTCCCAATCAGGCATGGCTACACCTACTGGTTTGTTGCTGTTGTTGTTAAGGTGAATTGCAAAAATACATCTAATGCCAAATATAGTTATAAACTTCATAAGCATTTCATGCCATCATTGTAGCTCAGCCAGATAGAACTGGAAGGTTCTCTGACTCAAGCACAGTACAATATTGAAGCTTAGCCAATCCATGATAGAGGTGTTGCTATGGCATGGCCAGTGCACTCCAGCCTGTCAGCATCTCCACGGCTCCTTTTCCTGTTAAGGACTTACTTTTCAGCTCCTCCTCACCTCATGTAAAATGATGGATGAAATCAGACTTAAATTTAGTGTTAATTCACCACAGGGCTTACTCGTTTTCAGTTCACATCCTTCTTAGGTTAAAATTTGAAATTCTAAATTGCAAAAAGCATTTGTTTTCCATTGGTATAACTTTCAAGTAATATTTTATCTTAAGGAAGTTCATAGCTGTATACTTAAAGAACTTCAGCTGTAAGTTTTTTGCTTGTATATCACAAACTGTATACATCTGTGTCCAGTCCCCCTTCCACACATTATTTGCATGTTCACGCCGATCCGAGTAGGAATCACAACACACACAGAAGCAGTCTTTCATGCCATACATACATAACTGGATGAGAAGCCAGGTGCATACGTGTTTATTAAAGAATTAATTTAAAATACTGCTTAATGCCAAGATGACTCTAAGAAGTTTCCAAAACATGAATGCCAATTGTATGACATTGGTAACAATACAGAATAGTTAAAATGAGAACTTAATTAAAATACATTAAAATAGTCCAATTAAAACATTAAAATGTAAGCATCCATAAAAAAATATGCAATGAAACAATTCCCTTAGAAACAGCACAGAAATTTTAAAAGGAGACTTGGGTCAAGAGGTCAAGGAAAGCGAGCGGGTTGCCAGTTCAGATGGGTCCTCTCATGTCAGCAGGAGGTACTTTCCACAACACTGGTGCCACCAGTAAAAAAGCCTGCTTCCATGTCCCCACAGGCCATTCCCCAACCTTATATTTTTGACCTTCACTTGTGGTTCCACTCTTATGTAACCCAAACAGCAGCATCTACATGCAGCAGATTTGGAGTATATACAAAGTTTGCAGAAGCACATAATAATTTTAAGCAGAACAATCCATAAGCTAGCGACCCATGTCCCAAAGGAGGACTGGTCCTAACTTGCCTTCAGGTGTGCTACTAGCTACCACATAGACTTCAGTCATAACAAAGTCTTGATTTCCTATTAAAATATCAAAGCACATTAAATACATTGTTTTACAATGAAGTGCTGGATTATATTCACAGAAGTTTGCTGAATGAGTTGTTTGGTGACTCTGCTTACATGAATTCATTTCACTTCTTTAGATGTCTGGGTGCCTTGAAGACATTTTTTAAAAGAGCTAGATTTCTGCCATTTCAGAAACTGGAGGTAAGCTCATAATACCTTTATTTTAAAGTATAAATACAGTAAAAGTATATGTGGAGCGGTGGCAACTTCACACTATGTTGTCCTCAGGCAAGTCACATTCAGTGGGCTTTTTAGACTGCACAGTGAAGGGCCTGCTAATGGGGAAGCCTCTCATGATCTCTGGCCTTCTTGCTAAGCTAGCTAGTTATTGAGATCAACCATTCTGGTATCAGACTGGAGTCTGGAAGTGAAGCCTGCTGTGCAAGAAAAAGGAGCTAAGAGCAGACCCAGAACGTTTGTTTGTTTGTTTGTCTGTTTGCATTTTTTTAACCCCACCTTTCATTCATCTTGTACCCAAGCTGGTGTACAAATCTTTCCCAGACAGTCGTGCATCCGGGCATTGACCACACGCAAACCTGCTTAGCTTCAACGAGATGGTGGCCTCCTGTGCCTTCAGACCATATCTGTGATGTGGCACCAGCAAACAGAGCCCAGTGGTTTTGGTGGTCTAGGAATCGGGCCTAATAGCATTTCATACCCTCCAACATTTATCCAATGAAAATAGGGATGTCCCATTTCATGATAATAATTTTACTGTTTACACCCCATACATCTTACTGGATTGCCCCAGCCACTCTGGGCAACTTCAAACATCTATAAAAACATGAAACATTAAAAAACTTCCCTATACAGGATTGCCTTCAGATGGCTCAGGGGTCGGGTAACTCCATGCCCTCCAACATTTATCCAGTGAAAATAGGGACATCCTAAGGAAAAGTGAGACATTCTGAGATCAAATCAGAAATCAGGATGGCTTCTCTAAAACAGGGACATCCCTGGAAAATAGGGACAGTTGGAGGGTCTTGTATATACTTAATTATTTAGGAATTTATAAGCCAAACTTGCATACAAAATATAACAAGGCAGAATACAAAATATAAAAACAAGTCTGAGCCAGATTTGGCTGCTGGTTAGCTACCAAGCCAATTTTTAGGTGTTAGTTTTGGTCTGTGAAGCCCTACACAGCTCTGGCAGTGACCCTATCATGGGCTAGTTTACATGTAGTTATGGTAGTACAGTCATACCTTGGGTTGAAGTAGCTTCAGGTTGAGCATTTTCAGGTTGTGCTCCGCGGAGACCTGGAAGTAACAGAGTGCGTTACTTCCGGGTTTTGCAGCTCGCGCATGTGCAGACACTCAAAATGATGTCACGCGCATCTGCGGAAGCGGCGAATCGCGACCCGCGCACGCGTAGATGTGCAGACGCGGGCTGCGTTCGCTTCAGGATGCGAATGGGGCTCCGGAACAGATCCCGTTCGCATCCAGAGGTACCACTGTATTCATAAAGGCACATACAAGTGCTATATGCTTACCATACTATTTTATTGTGTTAATTTTCAAGAGCTAGACTGAAGAACTTCCTTGCTATCTTTTGGCTTGCTGATGTTTATAGCTGTTGTTTTGGATATGCTGATATTAGTTTTCATAACCATGATGAGTATGCAATATTCATCTAATTTTGTCAATTCTCATATGTTTTAAATTTTGGCATCATCACAGAAGTCTTGAATTGATGTCTGTAGGCTGGGATGTGTCACATTCAAGGTTCACGGATCCATTATGCTGATGAAATATTTCCATATGTAGTTGAAACTGTAACTCATTAATATTCAATAAAATAAAATACTATAAATGTACCACATTTAAGGTTAGGTATGAGTGCGTAGCTTGATCTACATTAGCTAGTCATGCTCCAGAAACAGTTCTGAAGGTTAAAATCAATTTTGTCTTGCTACAGTTTCAAACACAAAGAATACCATTGTTTTCTTCACATGTGGCAACCATTTGCGTTTATATTAAGTTGAAGTGACTGCCATCTAGTGGTCCAAAGAAATTTCAGTCACTGCAACTGAAAACAGCAGTAAGACCTCACAGACATCAGTTCTCATACAGAATGTGAGAGATACTGTGTATCATCTGGCTGATCTTGGAAGAATAGCGTTGTGCTCTGATGATGCAGGTTACTTCCTTACTATACAATGCATGTTGTGTTTTACAGCCATAGACCTGTTGCTTACATGCTTATTCTTTAGGTTCTTCTGTAGTGACTATGATGACTACACTTCCCAAGATGTTCCTTTGGCATAAAGAGATCTTTTTGGAATAATGTGAAATTGTCTTCAAAAGAATGAAATTTCTCAGGAGACAACTAACAGCAATCTAGTTTTCATTATTCCAAAATATATTTCATTTTCCTCTATGTAGTGGCTCCAGAATGGGCTACATTCCTGCAAAAATCTGTGTGTAAACACACACACACCTTCATCACAAAATGTATTTCTGGAAGATATTTCTGCTAGAAAAGGGTTTTGGTGTATTGATGTGTTATGAGAGAAATTCCCATGAAAGCAGAAGGAAGCTTCATTTAAAAAACAACAACTGCAAACTGTGGAAGGAAAAGAGACGAGAAGGTGAAAGGCAAGGGCTTATGGAAGAAATTAAGAAAATGAAGTTTGTTTTTAATATAGCCTGGTGTGTTAGATTCAGACTACAAAAAGCAGCTAGTGTGGTTATAGTTATATAGAGTGTCCGGCCTGCAGGGCATAATAAACTCTTATTTATAGTTTATGTCAAAGGAAGTAACCCAAAGATTCAAAGCCAAAAGAAACACTGCTCTTCTGCTAAAGTTAGATTTAGGAGTTGATATTATCCATGGATAATGGATTTGTTAAAGAATCATATAAGGATACCTATAATATCTACTCAGCTGTATGCCTAATTGAGTTCAATGGGACTTACTCCCAGGCATGTGAATATTGTATCATAGCCTTAGAACACACACATCAATACTAGAAGCCAGATGGATATTTAAGAACATAAGAAGATCCCTTCTGAATCAGACCAAGCCCATCTAGACCAGCATTCTGTTCTCATGGGGATCAACCAAATGCCCAAGGGAGGCCTCCAAGCAGGACTGTACTCTTCCCACTTGTGATTCCCAGGAACTGCTATTCAGAGGCATATTACCTTGATAGTGGACATGCTAGGTAGCCATCATGGCTAGTAGCCATTGAAAGCCTTAGGCTGCATCAATAGTTCTGGGTTGCGCAGCTCAGTGGGCGAGCAATTGCTTTGCATCCAATAATTCCTAGGCTGAATCCCTGGCATCTCCAGTCAGCACTGCGAAAGACATGGGCATCTGCTACCAGTAAGCATAGATCAAGGATGACTAATTCATAGCCCTCCAGATGATACTGGACTTATAAATCCCATCATCCTATTGACCTATTTAGTTCACTTGGAAACTTGAGTTTTGTTAAGTCACAAAGGGAAGGGGCATAGTTTGCCCTGACCTCCTTATCCTGTTTCTGAACTTGCTCAGTTGCTTTACTACTACTACTACTACTACTACTACTACTAAATTTTATTTATATCCCGCCCTCCCCAGCCGAAGCTGGGCTCAGGGCGGCTAACAACAAACAAAATAGTCCAACATTCTAAAAACATTCATTATAAAATTAATTAGATCAAATTAAAATCAAATTAATGGCAACCATCAAGCAAAATTCTGTGCAGATTGCCAGAGGAGGGGGTCAGGCTGTGCCCTGACCAAAGGCCTGGTGGAACAGCTCTGTCTTGCAGGCCCTGCGGAAGGATGTCAGGTCCTGCAGGGCCCTAGTCTCTTGTGACAGAGAGTTCCACCAGATTGGAGCCACGGCCGAGAAAGCCCTGGCTCTCGTTGAGGCCAGCCTGACCTCTCTGTGGCCTGGGATCTTCAAGATGTTTTTATTTGCAGACCGTAAATTTCTCTGTGGGACATACCAGGAGAGGCGGTCCCGTAGGTACGAGGGTCCTAGGCCGTATAGGGCTTTAAAGGTTAAAACCAGCACCTTAAACCTGATCCTGTACTCCACCGGGAGCCAGTGCAGCTGGTATAATACCGGATGGATATGATCTCGCAGCGAAGACCCCATAAGGAGTCTCGCCGCGGCATTCTGCACCCGCTGGAGTTTCTGGGTCAGTCTCAAGGGCAGCCCCACGTAGAGCGAGTTACAATAATCCAGTCTGGAGGTGACCGTCGCGTGGATCACAGTGGCTAGGTCAGGGCGAGAGAGATAAGGAGCCAACTGCTTAGCTTGGCGGAGATGAAAAAATGCCGCCTTTGTTATAGCTGTAATCTGCGCCTCCATAGAGAGGGAGGTATCGAAGATTACACCCAAACTCTTAACGGACGATGCTGGCACTAATTGCACCCCCGCAAGAGATGGGAGTTGCCCCCTCAATCCCATATCGCTCCGTCCCAGCCAGAGGACCTCTGTCTTCGACGGATTTAACTTCAACCGGCTCCCACGTAACCATCCAGCCACAGCTTCCAGACATCTGGTCAAGTGTATCTGGGGCCGAGTCAGGATGGCCGTCCATCAACAGATAGAGTTGGGTGTCATCGGCATACTGATGGCAGCCCAGCCCCAAACTCCAGACAAGCTGGGCGAGGGGGCGCATAAAGATGTTAAAAAGCATCGGGGAGAGAATCGCACCCTGAGGCACTCCACACACCAAGGAGTGGCACGATGACAATTCCCCCCCAAGCGCCACCCTCTGTCCCCGACAGAGAGAAATGAGCGCAGCCACTGAAGGACTGTGCCCTGAATCCCCACGTCGGCAAGGCGGTGGTCCAGGAGTTCGTGATCGACCATGTCGAAGGCTGCTGACAGGTCTAGAAGAATCAGCAGCCCTGACCCGCCTCGATCCAGCTGCCTGCGGAGATCATCTGTTAGGGCGACCAGAGCCGTCTCGGTCCCATGACCAGCACGGAAGCCAGACTGGAATGGATCGAGAGCTGATGTTTCATCCAGAAACCTACCAAGCTGTTCAGCAACCGCTCTCTCAATCACCTTACCCAGGAATGGAAGATTTGAAACCGGGCGGTAATTGGATAGATCTAAAGGATCTAATGATGTTTTCTTTAAGAGCGGACGCACCACTGCCTCCTTCAGTTACCCTGGGAATATCCCGGTGCCA